CAGTCTCAGCACTTAACACCCAAACTTAACCAGTGGGAATTTATTCTCTGGCAATTATTCTTCTCCTTCGAATAGCTCATCATCCTCAAACCTTTCTCATGGCATCAGCCCTTGATGAGCCTGTTGGATTGCATCCTCTCGTGCTCTTGGCCCTGCAAGAGCAACCTCTGACAATCACTCAAGACTTCTCTTTGAAAACCCTACAGCCTGGTTTTTGTACCTGCAATCAATCCCTGCGGGATTCTGCCACTGTTACTGTCCCCGGGTAAAGGATAATCAGTAAGTTTTAACTTAAACTCTTAATTTTTTTCCCTTTTTTCCCTCCCCAGCAGACCCCACAGCCTTCTGCTCTTTGGTCCCAAACAAGTAGCACACTCATCATTTCTCCCTAACAAGTTCCCCCTCACAGGAACTTGTTTCCAACATTCTCCAAGGTTTTTTCCCCCCATCTGGTTTTCCTCCTATTTTCTGATTGTCCTGTTTTCCTTGAAGTCCTCTGAGTAACATCCTATCCCTCTTTGGGCTTCAAACCATTGCCCTTTCCACTGTCTTTCACTCTTTTCTGCTCAGCCTGGTTTCACATTCCCATTCAGGAGATCCTGTCAGGCTGGGCTGTGATCTTCCAGATGTAAACAGTTTCTGTCAGGAGCACATCTAAGAATCATACATGTGCCAACCCCCCTGAATCCTGTTTATTACCTTTTTTTTTTTTTGTGTGTGGGGCATTTCTTCTAATTGTCACTATTTTTTCAATCTCTAGACTTGAAAATCTCCCAAATTCCCTCCCAGGCACTCTCATGTGAGATCTTTCCTTTGCTTTCTTCTCCCTTTCACGTTTTTGTTTTCCCACAGAGCGTTTGGTACTTGCTCTGTCACAGTGCTTTAGTCAACACATTTTCCTCCCGCTCAGCAGCTGGAGGGGATGCTCGGTGAATGGGCTGTGGGTGTCAGCCCAGGAGGTGTTACTGGGTTTTAGGATGTGGGGAAGGAAGTTTTCCTTTATTTCCAGCATACTGGAGGGACTCAGTGAAAGTTGGATGGCCATCCTGGTACAAGCTGCCAGTGTATTTGGCTGGCAGTCTCCCATGGCACCCAGAAGAGTGGAAGGAATATCCCAAGTAGACAATTTTGTCCCTTTCCATCCCGTTTTCCCAGCCCTTGGCTGTCAGTGAAGCCGAGCTCACACCACGTCTCCACTGACCCCCTGGTAATGTAAGGACACCATTAATGTTGTATTTTTCCAGACAGTATCTCAGAGTCAGTTCATGCCTTGCTGCAGGTGGAGCACCCAGCTGCCTGTGTGAGCCTCCAGCCTTTCGTGTTCTCCCTGGGTGCTTTGGCACCGGGCAGCTCCTCCAGCTCCTCCACGGCCTCTCCGCACAGCTGGCGGAACACCGGCAGCCTTTTCTTGGAGCCAGGGGAGCGTCTCAAATCCGTGGCTTCCTTCTCCAGGCGCATGGAGAAGGTGACAAAGGTGGGGAGGTGCTGAGGAAGAGAGGAATAGGAGTCTTCATCCGTGCTGAGGTAGTGCTGTAACGTGGGGTGGCAGGACGTGGGTCCTTGGTAGACATTGCTGGCGCCTGCACCGTCCAGGGTGCGGAATGCAGGGATGTTCCTGCAGCTTTTGAGGAAGATGTATCTGATGTCCCTGGAGGTGTGGTAGGGTGTGCATTCCGGTGATGAGGAGGGGCTCCTGGCTTCACATTGGAGAGCTGGTGCCGACATTGTTGCTGGCCTTGTGTGGGGATAAATCACACAGTTAGCAAGGTGGTAGGTGATAGAGCTGGTCAGGAGTCCTCAAAACCCCCCACAGAACATCCCTCCCCCCAAAATATCAGATTTCCAGAATCCTCTCTTCCCTCTCCCTTCTCTAAACTGACCAACTTTGACAAGTAACCTCAAGATCAGTAACACAACTCCATCGTAGACTTTCACATCAAAATCAATAGATATCCACCAAAATTAAGACTTTGCTGTGTTTGTTGCGGAGAAGGGCCTTGAATCCCAAGCTCCAGTTCATAGATGACTACAGTCACCACCAGCCTGGGTGTGGGAGTGTGTTGTCAGAGACAGACAAATTGTCTCCATCATTCTTGGAGCTCTTTGCAGGAATGAATAACCACTGACTGGATTTAGGATCTGAAACTGCGTCTTTGGGGAAAGGCTGACCCTGCGCACTCTCAGACAGCCTTCTGTGTTCTTCCACCACGACCCACTGAATATTTAAGCTCTTTCCCAGGTTTTGTACACTGCTGTGTAAAATTCAGATTCTTGGAGGGGGGGAAAAGCCCAGCCTACTCTACTTTGATACCTGGCTGGAACCTACAGAGTTGACAAAGAGAGAAGGCGACCAACCCTGTTCATGGATAATTCATCTCATGCATAACTCATGCTCACACATTTCATGGATAATTTAGGATAAGGGCTTGCAAGATCAGGATCTCACATGGAAGTGAAGGGTCTCTCATGAACAAAGCTGATGGCAAACTCTAGCTGTGGGACAGAGAGTTTCTGAATGTGGTAACATGCCAGCAGCTGGGAGAGCAGAAATGCTGTGGTTCCTTGAATGTTGGCATCTTCCAACCTGGGCAAACTCAGAATATGTTTGGCAGAGTGTCCTGTCTCTGAGAATGGCCAAAATCTGGTCAGTCAGAGGAGATACAAGCATAGCAACTCCACTGTGTGGGAGCAGGAGGTCTTAATATCCTGGGGCTTGTCCAGAAATCCAGAAAAAGCACCTTCCTCTGTGGTCCAAGTGCTCAACTGTCTCTAATATGAGCAGAATGTAATCAAGCATTTTTATCTTTATTCCTTATTACTACATTTTCCTTCTCTTCCAAACACAAACCAGAATGGGGTAGCTGATATTTTCCTCCCTGGTGTGAGAGCACTGGAATTTCACGCAGTGGAAGAAGAGATCCCTGCTCTCAGACTCGGGCTGTGCCGTGGGAACACCTTCAATCCACCACTGGGGAAGGCACACAGCACCCACCTGGAGCCCAGCCCCTCAGATCCAGAGGAGGCTGGATCTTAAAGCTCAACTCACAGGCATCAAACATTTAAACAGACCAGTCGAGGGCTGAATTATTAAAATCACCCCACGTGAAATGTTTCGCTGCAAGACGACGAGCACTCTCCTTCCCCGGTTCATTGTCTCTGCGGGGTGTCAGAAATACTAAGGCTCATTCTGCCTTTCCCATCCCCCTTGAGATACTTGGAACAAGTGAAGCACTCCCAGCTGCCAAGAAACATTGAATATTTATGAATCCACTTAATCACAGAGGCAGGGACCATTCCAACCAGCTTAGTTTGGCAATGTTTTGGCCTTGCCTCCTAGAGAGGATCAGAACTTGCTCCCAGAAGTCCTTTTGGCCCCCCTGGAGCTGATCAACAGTGTGTCCTGTTCAGGTGGCAAACCCTAGGAGTAGCTTAACGGATGGAGATACTTCATCCCTGCTCCTGCACTGCCTTTTGGGGTAAGAAATACAAATTAGTTTGCCTTGGGATGTGCCTCCACAGCTTCAGCCTCGCAAGCAGAGAAGAAGCAAGTCCTGGGGAAAGTGTCCTGACTTTCTTACTGTTTTCTCACCATTGTTATCCCATTATTTCACTTAATATGGTGTTTGCTTCAACCTCCAAAAGAAAAGCAAGCCCAGTACAGCCACAAAAGTAAAGCAAGCAGTGATTTCCCCCCCACGCCCCATGTTTCTTCTATATTTTCCCTTTCCCCAGCTTACAGGAACAGGGGGGACCAGCAGTATTAACCATGAAAAAAGAGGTTATTCTTCGGTCAAAATGAAATCCAAGTGGCAAAAGCAGGGGTTTCACTTTTATCTTCTTATTTGTGTTCCAGCATGCACAGAAATAATTTTTTTCTAATTCCTCATAAGCGTTTGGTATGAAAGGGAAACTCCTTGGGTTTTTTGGATTTTGGTTTGGGGGTTTTTTAGTTGTTTTTTGGGGGGAGTCATGCTCTTTTTTAAACATCCTTATTGCCTTCTTTAAATGGGCTCTGTCACACAATGTTCGGAGACTCTGGTTTGAGAAAGCTTCTGAAACTGTGTGTCATTGATCAAGGCACTTGTGTAAACTATTTGTGGGTGCTTGCAGCCTTCACTGGTAAGAGATTTGTCAAAGGCAAGTTATTTCCAGTTGAGTTCCCTGAGCAAACATCTGGCTTTTAAACAAATCTCCTGGTGGAGAACAGGACATGAGGCTTGTGCTGTGATGGAAGGCTCTGGCTGACCCGTTGAGCAGCAGTTTGGAGCAGGAGAGGGGGGTGTGCCCTCCCTTTGCTGCTGAGCTTTGCAGCAGAGTGTGCAGGGACAGCACCATGCATGCCTGGAGTTATTGCCAGTGCTCAGCAGCATGGAAACAAACCTGAGGTCTTCTAAATCCAAGATTCTGTAAGAAAAGCTTCAGTGAGAGTGGTTCTGACCAAGCAGCAGCCTGGAAAACTCTCTCAGCAAGGAATGTGTGCGCAGGGGAGCTGCGATGGGTGGATGGCAGCTGACTGGCATTAGTCAGCTCTCTCACTGCTCCCACTCCCAAGGACCTAAGGCTTTACAGAGACTTCTCTCCTCTCAGCATTGGCCTCCCTGGACCCAGCAGAAGTGGAAAAACCACTCAAATATTTATTAAAAAACCCTGATGTTCTTACAGGACTCACCGAAATCCTGGATACTTTTCTGTTTGGTCCTGACAGACAATTAATGTCTTCAGAACACTTCCACAAGGAGCTGGATGGTATCCACCCTGGCTTTGGGGGATTCTGGCAGAGGTTGTGTGTTGCTGTTGCAACATTCCGTTGTCACGCCAGCGGAATTCTGGGCTCCACATCACAAAGGACCAAGACGTGACCTTGTGTGGCACCAGGGCGAGTGCAGCGTGCCTTTATCTCTGTGGGGAGGGTGTGCACGACCAGAATGGGAGGGGTCTGAGGACTGTATAAACCACAGGACTGCTCACCACCTGGCTAGAGGTGTCACTGTCCTCTAATTAAGGCATGGGCGTCACAGGTCCCTTGGAGAGCACTTGTCTCATGGGATGCTTGAGGACTCCTGCATTGAGGTCACAGGGTGGATCCAGCCCTGCTCACACCAACAGTGTCACAGTTCCCTCTGTCACATGGCAGCCATCACCCAAAGGGACACCTGAATGCTCGTGACATGCTACACCTGCTCACACATGGCTGTGGGATTCCTGTAAATGTGGGATTTGGGGGCATTTTGGCAGCTCTCTTAATCTGTAAGTTCCCCTGAGCGGAGGTTGCTTGTCCTGGGGTAACTCTCGAGTGAGCAAAGATCCCTATGATGACTTCACACATTGTGCTAATGCTGCTTCCAGGCTGAGTGTGAAAACCCTGGTACCTCATGTCATAACAGAGCTACAGAACTCTCCTGGCTTGCTGAAGGTACAGCAGAGCCTGGTGCACTTCACAAGGGCTCAGGCTCCCTGTCCTAAAACATTTTTTGCAGCTGTTGAGCAGCTTGCTGCATTAAAAGCCATGAATGACTTGAAGTCATACTTGTAAAGAAATAGGTTGCAGGATTTTCAGCACTCTGGGAATTGGGAGCAACAGTGCTTTGTAAATTAGATCTATTAAATACTTAGTAATATCAAAATTTCATGCAGTGCTTTTCTTCAAAGAAGTCTGAGGTGGCTCTGTTCATCAAGCAGTTTTCCCTTAAACTGACCTGGCCTTTCAGAATCACTTGGGAGGTCGTATTTGATCCCGAGTTAATTCCTAATGAGATTTCCTGCTTCCCCAAGGCCTTCTACTGACGTATACAAAAAACGAGAGACCAGACCAGAGCCTTTTATCCAGACATTTCTCAGCTTTGAAGATGTTTCTGCAATACCAAGAATTGCCAATCACATGGGCAGAACTGGATAGTTCTGGTCCTCGGGAACCACGAGCCTGGAATCTGAGGGAGGTGGTTCATTCCTGCAGCGGGTGATCCCCATTGTGACATGTATTTTATTGAGGAGGAGGCTGGGATGGTCCTGCTGGGTTCTGGCTTTGTGCAGTGCTTGGAGGGTGGTTGTTGGAGATCTCCAGCAGTGACTAACAGGCACTGGATATACCCAAATAACAGCGTGAAGTGGTAACCTGGCAATCAGCACGTCCTTGAAATAAATGAGCAAGCGATCCTCTGAGTGTGAGCACTTCTGGTGGTGCCAGTGGTGTTGGCTGGTATTATCAGCTCATCCCAGGGCTTCTCAAGGCTGCCTTTATCTGCAGATCTCATGTGGTGCAGCACAGATCACCCCGGCCCCTGAAAAACGGGGCTGCTGTGGGACAGAGCCTTAGGAAGTATTTAGCAATGCCAATTTGTGGAACAGGATTTGTGGGACAGGCAGCCCAGATTCTGGACTGCTGGAGGCTCAGTTTCAGAATCTCCAAACTGGAAAGGGGTTAGTGGAAAGAGTGTCTCCCACCTGGAGCTCACCACACACCCCCCTCACCCACCACACCCCCCGAGCTGGCAAACAGAGCCCTCCTCTTGCACTCTCAGCCCTCCCGAGGGTGCTGGCACTCCTCTGTGTGCATTCCTCTTGTTTATTCCTGCCGTGCATTGATGCAACAGGTCACACGTTTGCAAGAAGCTGCCAAAGATAATACACAACCTGTCATAGTAACAAGATCATCAGAAGGAAAACTGAAGAGATAATAAACCGGCAGGAAAGCTGAAGAGTAAGAAACAAAAGAGGAGCAGAGAGGAAGTGACAATGTTATCTTTGTTTAACGCTCCTCTGAGTCACCATTAGTTATTTAAGATATTCATCTGCTGGCTCCCAGACCCATCAAATTAAGATCCGAGGGGTGGTGGGGCTCTTCTCATTGCCAAACAAGTTGCTCTTGTCCAAAGGGAGAGGAAGCTTCTGTGAGCGACGGATGCATTTTATTGCAGCTCGCTTTGGAAGCCAGAAGGAGGCAGTGCCATATGGAGCACATGGATTTGCTTCTGGGAATGCGTGTTGGTGATTGATTCACAGAGGCTGTAACAGGAGGGCAGTAAGGATAAGGAGGGCATTAAGGACGGAACGGGAGCATCAGCCCGTTCCCATAGCTGGAAACCAGAGGCTGCGTGGGCAAGGCACAGGGCTGGGAGCAGCCCAGGACACCCTCACTTTGGGGAGAGGTTGTCAAATGGGGGAAAACAGCTCCAAATCTGCTGCTGCAGTTCTTCAAGGAGGACGAGTTTAGGTCCATCACAGGATAACCACAGGCACCCAGGAGAGGTGGCGCTGTGGGAGCTCAGTGGGTGACTGAGATGTTCTCATAGCATCAAACCCTGGCCCCTCCAGGACCAGGAGACACCTCTGAGTCATCACTTCTGCCATCTCACTCCTCCTTCACTTCCACAGACAGATCTCCAAGTCCAGTGACCCTGAGCTTAGCTCAGCTGGTTAGAGCATGGTGCTTGAGTTTGATCCCTGTGTGGGCCATTCACTGCAGAGTTGGACTTGATGATCCTTGTGGGTCCCTTCCAGCTCAGAATATTCTGTGATTTCTGAAATTTAGAGCAAGTGGAGAGATCCAGGAACCGTCTGTCCTGCTGCCAGGCGAGGCTGCTGTGTGCACCCATGTGTGCATGTTTGGAGAAGCGCCTCTTCCCTCTGCCTTTTGCTCCTGTCAATTAACCCAGGATCCAGGAGAGCAGCAAGAACATCAATTTAACATATGGGCTCAAAATAGTCAAGACAGCCTTTCCCTGAGGGCTTTGCAGAGAGAAAGGAGGCACCTGGCAGGGTGAAGTGGTGAAGAGGTAGGAAAGAAAGGAAACACAACTGGCTGCAGGATGCCCAGCTTCCCTTGATTAGTGTCTAGGCCAGAGGAGAGGGTAAAAAGGGTGACAGGAGGGATGGAGAGCACTGGCTGTGTGACTTCTCCCCTTGCAGTGGGGCAGCTCTGCAGAGCACGTTGGACAGGCCTTGGAACAGGATCTCCCTCCCAAGCCCTCCCGGGAAAACAGAGCCCTGCAAACCGGCGAGGCGTGGGATTAAATAAATTAATGATCTGAGGAAGGTGGATAGGAAGGAACAGTCATCTTGGTGGTAAAAAAAATCAAATCACAAGAACTGAGGATTTATGGCAGGGGTCAAAGGCTGGATCCCTTCTGGATCCAGGCTGAAAGCTCCATGAGGTCCCTTGTTCCTGAGTGGCTGCACAGTCACTGCCAGCATGAAGGAGCAGGACAGAAATTATCACAACCAAATAATTAGCAGCACAGCAGCTGGGAGGGCTGCACAGACAGATAATGTGGCAAAACGTTAAACAGCAGCTTTAGCATTGTCAGGGGGTTCTACTGAGGCCAAAACGGAGCAGGGGAAGATGTGAGGCATTAGATGGGGAACTCTCCACATAGTCCACTGCTCTGGGCCCTGTGTAACTCCTCCTGCACACTGTGCCTGTGATATAATGTGCTGTATGGGAGCATTTTGGCAAGAGCCAATTCCAGCAGGAGTTGCCTACCCTCTTCTTTGAAACCTCTGACAATGGAGTTGAGAAACCATCCCTGTCCCCACATCAGCCTGTGCCAGCACTGCCCCGAGCGCATGTCCTCGTGCTGACCTGGCCCGATCCCTGTGCACCCTGAGCTCACGATACACCACCAAAAAACAAAGCTGCCAAGTGTCACCTCTTTCTGGGGTGGAAAAAGATGCAGGAGATGAGTGGTCTGTCCCGTGGAGAGGATTTTATTGACAGCAGAAGAAACCCCCCTGCTGTCCCCGCTGTGGTCTCGGTGCCGGGCCAGGGGCTGCCAGTGCCCGCTCGGCTGAGGGGGTTAACAGGGTCTGATCTGCACCAGGGCCACCTGCCCGAGCACCCCCAGCCCATTTCACACATGCAATCAAACATCTGCTCGGCCCTAATGACTGCCCGTCAGTGCCGAGCGGGGCCGTATCCGAGGCGGCGACCTCGGGCTGGAAGGCACCGGAGCCCATCGCCAATCTGCCGGCCCAGCTGTCGGCCAGCACACCACGGGCCAACCCAGCCCTTCCTCCCGCACACACGGGAATCAAACGGGGGCTCCGCGGGCTCCCGCGGCTGCAAACACCTCCAGCGTGAGCCAACAGCTCCCCGGGGGAGCCCTTTGGAAAAGGTATCAGAGACCTCAGCGCTCTCTGCCTTGGCAAAGCGCCAGCCTTGCGCGCGGTGGAAGGAGCCACACATAAAAACTGTGATGTCCTCTACTTTTATTTTTATGTGTTTGTTTTATTTTGTGTGTTTATTTTCAAGGAGATTACCAGTAAACTTAACGTCAATACAGTTAATCCCCATATATATTTACTGAGGGCAATTAGCTGGCATTTATATTAAATATACACAATAGACAGTTGGATATACAGTTTGTATAGTATAATTAGATATATATACACACATAAATAGATGCATAACTCTGTCTGCAGTGTGTGTTGGTGAGGAAGGACCAGGGTAATGTGCCGTGACAATATTTATCTCACACCATATTTATACCCTGATAGCTGGAGAAGTATGATGGGGCTCTGCAGGAGAGTTCTGGGAGGAGAGCGGGTGCTGCAGGGGAGACACACAGATGGGTGCAGTGCCAGGGCAATTCCAGGGGTAACAAAGGGCTTTGGGAACCTGGGGTGACAGCAGCAAGAGGACTCAGACAGGGCTGTCCAAGCCCAGGTTGTGTCCAGGTGTGGGAGCAGCTGTTGAAGGCAAAGCCAATCTCAGAAACGCAAAGGCTGCCAATCCTCCTTGGCCTTTTCTCCAATATCCTTTCCTGGGGTGAAACTCTTCCATGCCCCAGCTGGAGCCCTGATGGTTGGGAGAGTGTGGTGGGGAACTGGCTGGCTGGTTTCCTGTTCCAGCCTGGCAGCTGTGCTCTGCTTGGAGCATCCACCAGCCTTCCCAGAGCAGAGAGGGTGGGGGAGACCTGGCACACCACAGTCCTGCAGTACTTGGCTCCTTTGGAAACACAGGACAGCAGCTGAGAGGGGCAGCTGGGTTAGAGGACCAGGGAGAATTCCCTACTCCTCCTTAAGAATTCCCATGTGAGCTGGAGCCAGACGGCATCTCCAGACCTTATTCCACCAGGAAGAAAAAACACTTTGGAGATGGTTGAAGACACAAATTTTTATACCCAGAAAAGACTGATCCCTGTGGAAGTTTTCACATGCTTGCCCCAGCTTTGGAGCCGTGTACAAGTGTTTGACCAATGTGCCTCTTCCCAAAAGGCCATCACTTATGTGGCTATAGCAAAGCCTTGCACTTTGCAAGCTTGCAAAAGCATGCAAGATTTGCTAAACATGCAAATTATAGTTTATCACTAGCAGTAATAAAAACTAACACAGCCATTTCCCCTGTTCAGCCTCTCCAGCAGTCATTCCCACTCCTGCTGGAACTGCACATCTGAGCGATGGGAGCTGCTCATGCGTGTGCCTCCAACTCCATCATCCCAAACCCCTGTGAGAGCAAACAACCTCCCTCTTTCTGCATCTAAAACCTGTGGGCCATCCTCAGGGGGACCATCCCAGAGCTCAGTGCATGGCTGAGTCAGTCCCAAGTCTCAACCCTTGTTTGCTTTGGAAAAAAATGTCAATTTACTGCTTTGTGTGCCTTCCACCTGTTCCTTCTTGGCTGCCACCAGCCTGGTTTTTAATCACTCTGGATTGCACAGGCAGTGTTAAAATCCTGCCTGCAGCAAAGAGTGGTGTGAAGCTGTGCTGCCTGTGGAAGACTCTCAGAGTCCTCAACATCCCCTCTTACCTACAAGCTTCTCCAACCTTGGCCCAGATATAAAGGACCGGCTGAATTCTGGGAGCGCCTCCCCTCAGCTCCGTCCCGCTCCTCCAGGGCAAAGTAAGCCAGACAATGGCATAATTAAACCTTCTCCTCCCTTAAAGTACTGTTCAGGGAATTTGATTCCCAGCTGCTATTTATGGCTATTGATTCCTGCACTCCTTATTACGACGCTAAGTGACCTGTAACCAGCGCGGCAACTGGCGGGTTTATCAATCTCCTTCGGATAATTAGTGACGCAGGAAGGCGGGAGAAGGAAATAAATGGTGTGCTTGAGAAAAGTTTGTTTACCACCCAATGGGGGAGTAGCAGAGCCAGATGAAGAGTCGGTGAAGATCAGCATTTCATCATGCCCGGCCTGGAGGAGCCGGCCTTGGATGCTGCTGCCGGCGCTTGGTCAGGATTTGGGCAATATCTGTTCTGGACTCTTGTCCCATAGGGAGCTCCTGCCTTATGAAGGTCTCCTTGCCTTGGGTGAAGAGCTGTGATGAACAGCCACGTGCATGGGAGCCCAGCCTGGGCATGGGAGGGCTGGAGGAGTGGAGGAAGCTCCGGCATCTGTGTGAGCACTGGTGGGGCCAAAATAAATCCCTTTTTCAGGCACATCCCATCTCTGGAGACCAAACCAGCCCCTCTCCCAGTGCCCTGCTGAGGCAGGTGGTGTGCTCAGAACAAGGGTCAGAGGGATAATTAGCATTTTGGTCCCTTTCCTGTTGAAATGTTGCCTGCAATTAACTCCCACCAGAGGAGTCAAACAGAGTGTGGCCCTTCCTTGGATCCAGGTGGATCGCCCTGCAGAGCAGAGCTGTGTGCAGGGCTGGCTGGGATGAGCCAAGGGGCTGCTGGGGAGCAGCTGCCTGGTGTTACTCACACTGATCTCACACTTTTTGTCATTAAATTGCTGTAAGCAAACTTGGCAATCTGAAGATGATTAAATGAACCAGTCCTGCAAAATAAACCCAGAGCTTTTATTAGCAGGACGGGAACAGCAGGTTATCTGCAGGTATGTTTAAAGCCCTTGTGATGCCCTTGCATAAACAGATTTCGAGGGTGCAGAGGATGGCTGGAAATTCAGAGTTAAAAATGAGAATTAAACCCACGTCTCCTCCAGGCTGGGACAGGGCCGTACCCCCAAATAATCGCTTTGCTGCTCCTTGCTGACCTCTTTCCCATGCAAATAGCTTTTCAGTGGAAGGGCTAATTCATTCTCACAGCTAAAAATGATCATTGCTGTGAGAAAGTGTTCTGGGCGTGAATCCTTTTCGCAGCAAATAGCAGCATTAACAGGTTCATTTTCTCCCAGCAATGCTATCAAAATCTCTTTAACTGCTTCCAGCGCATACCACAGATGCACAAGCCTGCAAAAAATGGGTGGGAGATGTGATTGCAGTCAGACCTCCTGCCTCAACCTCAAAACCCAGCTCAGCCCCGTGCTGAGCAACATCCACTCCT